TTGAAGAAATGGAAGGAGACATTTGGGAATACGCTGTCAGAGGCATTGTACTATATTGGACATCCGAGCATTAACTCAAGAATTAAGACAATTGCTTCTTCTAAGATCATGGGTTCTGAATCACTATCTTGTCTTTTATCCTGTCTTTTCTCCTCTTCATTACTCCTCTTCCAAGAATGCAATGCAATAGCAATTCTTTTGGGAAAAGGTAAAGTGCCCCTCTGTAGACAAGGGCAACCCTCATGTCACAGTTTCTCAAGGTTTGAGTAGAGGAGATCCACCACACCCTGAACTGTGACTTCTATGATTCAGGCAGCTATTTCCATTATGCTACAATGTATTTCCTCTTAGTATCGTGAATGGAGAACATGCATCATGGTTGGGTGGAAGTTAAGCTTCTCTTTAGTCCTTTTCTGTTAAAAAAAAAAAAAAGAAAAAAATCACCAACAAAAATCCTGGTTCTAGGTCTGTACCTGATCTAAGTTTCTGATGCATGATGGTCTGTTTGTGTGCTATAGACTTTTGTCTTTTTCTCATTTGTATTAGGGTTTTTAAGTTCTAAAGTAAATAGTACAGAAAACTGATCCCAGTGGAATCTATAATGGTGGCTCACCACAAAATGGTTTACATTGCCTTGAATCTATGCCATTCTCTTCTGAGGGTTTCTATATTACAATGGTTCTTCATGGAGGGTGGTTGGACCTACACCACCTGCAACATAGCTCTGCCATCAAGAGAGCTTGCCCCTAAGTCAGACCACTGAAGTTTCATACTTCGGACCCTCATGGAGGAAGCAAAGAACCGCCTTCCACAAGTTGTCCCTTGACTTCCAAACCCACACCATGGCATGTGCCTCTCCCCAAACAACTGGCTAAATGTATGCAATAAAAATAAAAATAAGGAAATAATTCCACAATATATCTCATACCATCAATCTGATTTGTCAAGATTACAAAAGGAAGATTGGGAAGGAGCAGAAGGCGGAAATCCAATAGTGCCTAGAGTTATGTTTTCTCTGGGGATATCAGGAATATTTTGCTACAGTTTCCATTTTTACATTTATTTAATAATTGTATAATCTTGAGTGGTAGGAGCTATGTTTTTCAAAGGTATATGATATATGGTAGTAAAATTTGAGTGAAAAATTGAAGTATTTTGCTTTTCTCTGCTAATTCTCTTGCAGCAGAGTTGCATAAATCTCTTCTCAGTAAAGAAGGAGAAGTGCTGGGGTTGAGCATGGAATTTTTACCTTAATAGTAATTAAACACACTTCATTAGATATTTTGTCAATAACGATATGGAGAAATATGAGTCTGCTTGGGAGTGTGTGTGTGTGTGTGTGTGTGTGTGTGTGTGTGTGTGTGTGTGTGTGTGT